ACTTGATTACACTTCTAAGTACTTTTATTTCATTTTGATCCTTTACCATACTATAAGGTTATTAGTGATTTTCAAATTAATTATTCTAAGCCTTTCACAGGCTTATATTCATTTATATTTGTTCCAAACTTTAATGAAAGAAGGAATGCATTTCATTTTTACACAGCCTGTATTGGTTTGATCTAATTTTGCAGAATGGGAATCAGAATGTTGCTGTGTCATTAAGATGGTTGCTTTTTAATAAAGCTATTTAAAGGATAAAACTATGAAACAAGAACTACTAGGCTCAAAAGGATCTAAAATGTACAATACAATAGTTGAAGAATCTAATAGGAGACAGTTACGTTAGTTGTACAAAGAATGATCAAATGACAGAATATTTATTCCTAGAGACCACTGAGGGTTTTTGTATTTTAGGAAATCATGTTTCCAAAACATACATTCTATACTTGGGCAGACTTCTTTTCCACCAGCAGTATGAACTGTTGATGGAGAAGGAAAAGAGAAAAGGCAGAATTGTATTATTGTTGTAGTAATTTGGTTGTACTTCTAAATTAAAAATTCAACATTAGAAGATGTTGGTGGTTTTCCTTTACATACAGTCTTTCACTATTCATGCAACTAATCTCATGATCTAAGGCATATAACTAAGATAAAATTGGCCAATGTGGTATTGCTTTATATATGGTCAAGACACAAGATCATTTTCTTTTTTTCCTAAGACACTGCTTGCACTGATGAAACATAAAGAAGAGCAGAAGCCTCTATCTCCAAATATTACTAGAAAGAATTTTGAGGTTTTTTACCTATCAGTTCCATAATCTATTCCATTTTCCTTTTTCATGTTAACAGACAATACCTCTTTAAGTATATAATTCAATGTGTTTGAGGTCCTGGTAAGTTGTTTCTTTCACAGCACTAGTTATGTGTAGGATTTCTTCTTAATGCTCAAAATAAATGAGGTGTAGTTGGATAAGGACTGGTGGTTTTTTACTTCCTCCCCCAAAGAGCTGATGTTTTTGGCTGGTTGTTTTGTTTTTTTGGGGGGGAGGAGGAGGCAAGAGTACAAGTCCGTATATAAAATTATTGAGTAGGCCTACATTAAAATATTTCCTTGATGGATGAGTTTGGAGGCTGAGAGACAGGCTAGGTGGAAAAATTTTTGTTTAATAATATCTGTGTTGATTTTTTTTTTTTTTTAAATATACAACTCTCCTTCTATCCCTGATCCTCCTCACCGTATGTGCTGGTACCTCTGGAAGGTTTAGAAGCCATTTTAGAACTCAGGAAGTAAAATATTCGAGCTCCACTTGTGCTTTCGCAGGTGCTGTGGCGGCAAGGATAACCTTTGCTCACTGGCCGGCGTTACCAAGCTGTTATTTAATGTCTGTGAGGATTAAAGACAACACAGAAAATTCCAAACCCACATCCTAACACCTGAAGTTCGCACAGATGGAAAAACATTTCCATGGAACCTTAGTGTAGGAAGTCTATTCCGGCTCCAGGGTGTTTTTACTCTTTCAAGGCACTGTTTCAGATCCCACTGAAAATTCTCAACTGTTCAGGATTGAAAAAACAAAAACAAAAACAAGAACAAGATTCCCTTCTAGGTGTTCTGCGCCCCTAGCCCTGCAATCCACCGTGATTCGGCCTGAGGGTCCTTCGAATGGACGTGCAGCTTTAGTCCTGGACATCCAGTAATTTATGGGGGAAAGGCAAAACCACAGGGCAACTTTCCGAATAGTCCCCAAGGAGCTCGGTAGTCAGAGCAGCATCGTCTCCCCTCAGACAGACGCCAGAGTCGGATCCTGGCTGTCGTCAGCTGTCGCGGGGGGAGGAGGAAGGAGTGAATGCTCACACTGGCGCTGGACACCGAGTCGCAGCCGCCGGTCTCTCCCGCCGCCTGCTCACCTCTGCAGAGCTGGACCCTCACCGGCCCGCCCGCTCCCGCGCCCGAGCCGCCGTGCGGCCCCGGCCCTCAGGCGCAGGTCGCCGGAACCGGCCAGTGGGGCGGCTGCTGCCTCCTCCGACCCTGCCCGAGGGCCGG